CTCCTCTTTCGTCCTTTCGTTTGTCGATTTCGAAAGTCACAAAGCTCGTTCGACGTGAGAGAAAAAGGGCAACGCTTCGGTAATTCCCTGGTGAAAAACTCTTCTCGTGCCTGAAATCCTCGCTCCAGTGATATAAGCCTTTTCTATCGAGCTTGTTTCGAGGCTCGCGTTCATCGAGGACGAGAACGATCGGCGAATACGTGTTTGAAAAACGCAAGGGAAAATCGTGCGGAATCTCCGTGAATTCTCCTCCTCGATCCCTCTTTCTCGGTCGGCTCAGCACGCCGACACTCGATCGTAGGATTAATCATTAATTACAGTCGATTAACTGCGCGTAATTGTTGTAGCTAGATGCGTATATGCGTACGTGCGTATGCTCGTGCATATTCATGTACGTACGTACACATACACACACACACACACACACACAGACACACACGTACACGTACAGTTGACTGATTCGTTAACTCACAAAGGGCATGCCCTTTTTTTTCTACACGTGTTTCGCGTACACTCGTCGAGTGACGGTGTGTGTGATCGTTCGAAACGTCCGGATGAACATGTGTATATAATAGACACACCACGAGCCACGAATTAACAAGATAGCAGATTTGTTGCTTGGCATCCTTGGACAAACGACGCTCACCCGTGGAGAACGATGCATTCACCGAGAACTCGTGTCTTTTCCTTTCTCGACCAGCGTCGTAATCCTTCTACGAAGCAATGGGTTACGCGAATCTCTTCCATTTGTCGTCCCCGCGTTTGACATCCGGCACGTGGACGGATCGTGGACCAAGGATTACGACACGTGGACTCGTACTCGCTTGGCGACGAATTTTTGGAGGAGAAGATTGAAAGTTGTGAGGACAGTCCACAACGAAAAGATACGAGTTCGCGAGTTTCGAGGAAACAAAAAAAAGAAAAAGAGAGAGAAAAGTCGAGCATAACAGTTAACGTGTCTGATTAAGCGTGTTCCAGTAAGTAAGTAATTATTCGTAACGTAGTTCTCGCCCCCTTTATTCAGCGGGCGATTCAATCTTGTTCTTCTATCGGCGAGTCGAGCGGATATTTACGTAATCTCGTGCCAGCTGATCGTTAGATCGCGCGTTAGACCTGCCTTCAGTGGCATCCAGATCTCTTCACTGCTTTACTAGCAAACATCGTAGCTTCCAATGAATTCGATAATTCCGATAATTAACAAGAGAATCGTTTCAGACGCGATTCGCCACCTCTCGCCACCTTTCGTTCGCCGGTAAAATTGCAAATTGCTGTGAATTCGTTTTCGCGGGATATTTCTGTGCTTCCGCCGAGGATCGAGGTAGAATCTCATCTACAGGTTCTAATAAATTGTTTCACGCACGAGACTGCGTAATCTCCGCTCGGGATCTATTTTTGTACAAAAAAGAAAAAAAAAGAAAAAAAGAAAAAAAAGGGAATGAAATTCGACGAGAAATCGGCCGTGCAAAACATCGATGGCGAATTCTTCCTTCTCTTGCTCGTCGTCGAGAAGGAGAGCTTTTACAGATATACGTTCTGTCTTCTCGCCGTGGCGACGATATTCACTTTCGCAACGCTGTTTTAGCCTGTGCGCGATCGAAACAACGGAGGAACGAGGAATCTGGCGATCGAGCGCCCTCCAAATCGGTACGACGCGACGCGACGCAAGTATCTGGCAAGTGCTCGTCGTTTTCGTCAAGACTGCGTCTTACTTGCGTAAGTTAAGCTTAAGTGAGCTTCGCTCGACGCTGGCGTTCCAGCGAAGCGACGCGCTGTATTATTTATCATTCAGAGTCGTTGTGCCGATTTGTCTCTTTTTGTTCTTCTCTATCCTCTTTCGTTTTTTCTTAAACAAAAAAAAAAAAACAAAAAAAAAAAAAACGGAGAAAAAGACAAAAAAAAAAAGATCTCTTTCTATCGATTTTTCTTTATCTCTTGTTTAGGGGTAGTTTACTTTCTCCTCCTCCGATTCTGCTTCTGCCATCTTCTCCCATAGTAGTACCTCTTTTTCTCCCTAGCACTCTGTCCGCTCTGTTCTTAATAAACTCACACGTTTTAAAAGTAAAGAATAGAGAAGAGGAGCATCGTCAGACGAACAGACACGTTTGTGCATCTTCGATCGAAAGCAACGAACGAGACTCGAGCGATATATATATAGCGATTCGGTATCGATACTGTAGTGAGGAAATTTCGTTCGCGATTGCAAATTTGTCTGTTCGTGCCAACAGCGAAAGAATCAACAGCACTGATGATAACCAATGAAAAGAAGAAGAGAAGACGATCGGGAAGATGTTTTCGAAGTTTAGCGAATGTAATCCACGTAGTTCCGATCACTCTCCAAAGTTGTAATTCCGTTATTTTGCTCTCGATTACACGTCGTA